GTGCCTTAGGAACAAGGTCTCAACACGTGGCCCAGGCTGGCCTTGAACTCACAGTCCTGCTTCATTTTCTCAAGGGCTGCATTAACGTTTTTGAACAATGTTTATAAAGTACTTTCTGTTTTATTTGACAACAAAAAGTATGTCTATGTTTTCCCTCATTTTCCTTCATTCTCTCTCTTCCTCCTTTTCTTCTCCTTCTTTCTTTCTAATCATGCTGATTCTAAGGAAGAGATTTGGAGCATGGTAATCTGAGATCTTGGGCATCTCAAGTTCCCGAGAACAAGGCAGATGCACGGTCTAGTCTGCCTTCAGGATGTTGCGTTACTAGGTATATATTTTTTTAGACTTTACATCGACAGATTTTTCTTTATTTCCTATGTTTCAATAAGGATAGTAATCCGAAGGATGTCTTCAAGACAAAAGACAGTAACAACAGCCCAATAAAATGTCTAGTAATCTTAAAACAAATCATGCTTAATTTTTTTTTTTGGTGTTCGAAATAATAAAATGAATACTAAATGTTTACTATGCACCAGCAGCAACTAAAATGACAGGGTGACACTTCTAAGTGTCAGTGGCTGTCACTCAGCATCGTCATCACTGACTTTTAAAGGGGAGGTGACAGATCTGGAAGGCAGTGTGGGGAATCCCTCCTTGCTGAAGGCCTTGCGGACACTTAGAAGTCAACCTAATATGACAGAAACATGAGCTGTAAGCTCCTATTATTACCCCTGACTTTTTAGTTGCCACTGGATATGGGGCAGAAGATTGAGAAGGGCTAGATGAATCACTCATCATGCGGCAGCCCCCACCTAAAATAAGAAGCGGTTGAAGGAAGTGCTTTAATTGAGCCCTTTGATGTCTGCAGCAATCACATGAGGAGCCTGGAAGGAGCCCAGGACCACCTCTCAATGACAGGCAGGTTTCAAATATGGAAAGAAGGGAACAAGAGAAGTGCAATCTTTCCCTACAGTTGGGGATGCTGTAAATAAAAAAGAAACAAAAAAAAAAACTCAAATATATGCTTCTATATCCCAAACAGATCCAAACAGCTCCAGGGTGTCTCACAAAACTGTTCTTTGAGCATTGCAGAAATCCATTCATTTCAGAGTCACGATAAAGTAAATGGCTACGAGTCACTTTGTTTGGCCCGTGTCAAATGGTCAGTACTCAGAGTTGAACATACTTGCCATTAGAACCTTTATCTCTGTATATTTCCACCCTCAGTGAGGACATTTCTGAGAACTGAGCTAACACTCCAGTCATACTTATAGCCATAAAATAAGAGGGTAACGTTCACTAGTATTTGTTTCAGACTCGGGATCCTAAGACCCTTAACTTTCTAACAGGAAAGACAGACCCTGAAACTGCCGAGCACTTAAGGAAGAGCTGCTGGTCTTGGACTGGTGTTAGGAGATGCTGGATGTTCCTTATCTATTTTGTGTCTGAATTTCTAAACTTAACGTTCTGTTCTCACCTGACACACAGAGAAAGCAAGTCACAAAAAAACACCTGAGCATTCTCCTGAAGCAATCAGCTTCTTATCAATCCAAAATCGATAGTCAGAGGGCACCTTCCCCTGTGGAAGCTAATTTTCCTCCTTTAGTTCTCCCGAAGTCCTTCTTTGCAGGAAAGTTATGTCTATGGGAGTGTGCAAATGTCACTGATCACACGAAAGCCTGTGCTCGTCTTCCCTTGCTCTCTCTCCATGTTTACACTGTCTCTCACAGACCCTAAAGCTTAGTTGTCAACAGTGATCTGCCTGCCTTTCTCTAGGCCCCTCCATTCCCCCCAGCTCTGGCACGGCAGATGTACATCTCCGTGATTCCTGGCTTTTGAGTGGGTGCTGGGGATCAATGAAGCTCTCTTCCCCATCCCCAAGGTGCTTCTGGAAAATCTGAAGACTGTGCTGTGAGGGAAACTAGGTTCTTCACTCCTGCCATGTGCTCTGGAGGCCGACCAGCCAGGGTGAATTTTCCCCAAGTGCTACCCCCAACTCTCGTTTCTCTTCTCATAGTCACAACCACAAAAGAAACTAAGGGAGTCTTTCTCCGTACTCTGACCAAGGGAAAGAAACAGTGATTTGGTAAAAGGAGGAGACTGAACACTACTTGCTAAGCAAGGATTGATGTGTCTAAGACAACTAGAGACAATGGCGCGTACCTTCTCCAAGAAGTAGACAGCAATGCTTTGACTTCTTTCTGCTCATCTCTAAACTTGAAGCAATTGTCTGGAGGAGCCAAGCACTTTTAATAGAAACCAAGCTTTTCTTAAAGTCTTAATGCTGCTTGAAATTTTGAAAGCACCGATTGTGTAGTGCAGCTGGCAGAAGAGACTTAAGCTAAGGCAGAGAGTGTCGTTCAAAAAGGAAAAAGTATCTATTAATGCGAAGATTGACAGAAAGGGAGTAGTGAAGGAACGTGTACCTTAGGGACTTAAGTGTCGAGTCTAGCTGGTGAGGTCAGGCTGGGTTCCCCCAGACCAACTCTCTGCACTTGACTAGGGCAACGCTGTATTGTTCTGAGGGAAGAACTCACCTTAAACTGTAGAGTGGTGGTGTTTAGAAAGAAAGAAAATCGTCCAAAAATTTCGATTGAAATTAATTATTTTAAAGCAGAATGGCTCACAAAGTATCCTTCCACATAAGTGATGGGGGAGGGGGGCGTGGAGAGCAGTTCATTAGTGGGGGTGGGGAGCGTGGAGAGCAGTTCAGCAGTGTCGAGGCTGTGAAGCCCTGCTGGGACAGTCTATGAATCACAGCCATCGGTGACGTCCTACAGGGCTGCGACAGACACAACAGCCATGCAACAGATCATTTCCTATTGGAACGCCTGCATCAGAACGCAATCGCAAACATGTGTTCTTTGTCTGCAGCAAGTATGCTTGATAAACGTTGGCTGAGGACCCTGGCTAACGTGTAGATTTGATTTACTGCATTAAGACTACTTACTATGAATTTTGAGAATGGCTGCATTCAGAAGAAAATACCCCAAATTATGGAACTTGTCATAACTACTTTGAAAGTAGGTAAGACTCGAAACCAACGCTTTTCTGACTTTCTCCCATCCTTCCCTGCTCCCTCTCTCAGGAAGCCACCAGACCAGTGTCCCCAGTCCCAAAGGCAAGCCAGAGAAGCTGGAATGCATCTCCCACAAAGCACGCCATAAAACTCTAAAACGTTCTCCCTTTCCTTCAAAGGCACCAAGCATGCTGAGCAGAGAAACAAAAGCACATCTGGACAGACAGGCTCCCTGCCGTCCCCCCTCAGCTGCCTGCCTCCCATCACACCCTTCGGCCAGCACTGATGTAAGTCTCCCCATGATTTATCAAACTGAAGCAAAAAAGAAAAAAAAGACACGGGTTCTTAGCCTTCTAGGTATTATTGCCCTGATGGCTCCAGTGACACCAAACACTGCAGAAAATTCTTACACTTTTCTTTTGTGGACCGCACTTTTGTTAGAGACTCCCAGCCACAAGCTCTATGATGGATGAAGAGAGTCGGTACAACTGGCCGCCTTTACAATGAGTAAAAAGGACTATACGAAGAAGAACCTATGGAACACCTGCTATTTTAAGTTTTAGAATCCATTTGGTTTGTCTTCTTCCTTAATTTACAAAAGTCTGGGGCACTTATGAAAATGTTATCTTTTAAGATACAGTCCTCCTCAGAGAGAAGTCAACAGGAGCAACTGCAGCCATCACGTGGAAAACCACAAACTTAGCCATAGTTGCTGAACTAATTCCTATGGATGTTTAAGAAATGTATTTTTTTTCTTTCTATGTCCTCTTTCCTCCCTATTCTATTACTTTGCACTGAGGTATCTGAAGATAATTTATGAGGACAGGTGAAGATGAGAGAGAAATACTGGATGCTAGCAACGAAGTATGTGCCTGATGGAGATATACTTACATCAATTCTACATTATATATGTCTATTACTATCTATTATGTATATCTATATATAATATATAATAATACATATACTATTTACCCAAGTATAAGGGTATATTTTCTTTTCACATGAAGTAGTAAGTATCTTGTACTTTGCACTGTTATCAGAGTTAAAACCAATAAACCGTCATAACATACCATCCAAATACCAGCTTATCAAAAGGGACATGATTGTCTTCTGTATAATCAAAGAGCCAATCAATGGCTATCTATTCAAATTAACCAAAGTATCTACTTTTCTCTTTGTTTTTGTTCTTTATTTCATAATGTCTTATTCTATTGACATTATCTGCTCCACTAAGATGACTTCAAGCCACTGAGGAATCCCTAGTGCCCTACCCAGGGCAGGACTTATTAAATATGTATGAAGGAAGTTTGCTATTGTGTGTTCCAGCTCTTGGCCCGTCCTTATAACTCCACACATTTCAGACACTTCCCTAGAATGTACAGAAACCTTTCTGTTCATTTTTAACAAGACAGACCGCCTCTGCCTTTAGAGAAAGGCTCCAGCTCTTGACGGCAATGGAGCTATCTCAAAATAAGTTAAAAACTCTCACGGGCCCACTATTAAATATTAATTCAGATATAGAAAGTATTAATGTTGGATGTTGTCAACATTGCTTAAAAATGAAAATGCTAAGGATATGAATGAAGCTATTGGGAATGGCGTATTAAAGCAGAGGATGTTGTTAAAGATGCCAGACCTAAACACAGGTTCACCCCACACATTAAGACAAACGATAGGAGAAATAAAAAACAGCAACAGGGGGTTGCCTTTTCCTAAGGAGGTGAAAGAATATCAAATAGCCACATGAGTGACTGAAAGATGCTTATTAAAATAGTTTACATTTCCACAACGGTTTCAAAGCAATGGGAAAATTCTCTCATGGTTTCATTTCTGACATTTCCTTACCTCAGACAAAATGGTTTCTTTTTCAACATTATGATTTAATCATAAACCGAAATCTTAAAAATTTATGACTGGGGTTAGCATCACGATCCTAAGTAATAGCATGGCAAATGGCATCACACAAGGCTTAACCTCTTACCGTCAAATCCATCTTCCTCTGACCCCAGCTCATCGTCTGAGCAGATGTTGAGGACGTTCACCAGCATCTCAGTGACTGCAGCCAGACAGGGAAGAAAGGGAGGACAGTCCAGTCAGACCTCTACAGGGCTGTCATTGCTCACTAGCCTACTATGCAACAGCACGCCAAAGGTGAGCCATTTCTACGCTTCCATCCTTACCCACAACGTCTGGATCCATATCTGCCATTATCCATCATAAATGGAAACTTGCTGTTTGATTCCAGTACGCTTGTGAAAATTAAATTATTATTTCGTCTTTATGAAATCTCCTACCAATACTTATTAAATATTGGGTCAACAGAAAGTAGGGGAAAACAAATACTGGATGTGAGGATCCTATAAATCTACAAAGGAAAAAAGAACAGTCTTGGAATTTTGCATTTATTTCCACAGCGATGCTGCCCAATCTAGATTAGATTACAGACTTCTGGTCATCAGGGACTGAGCGAATGCCAGGTTCCTTTTTGTTAATTTGTCTAATCCTCTATAAAATTCAGCTTCGTGATAGGTGAGTAGCTTTGCATTTAATAAAAACTGCTGATGGATGAGCTAATGCATTTCAAGTAGATTTGGGAATATTGATCTGCAGAAATAAATATGTTGGCAGAAATATCATTACATTTAGTTTCCAAAAAGTCTCAAAGATACTCAAAGATGAACTAGAATTTAGCAAAGTAAGTGGACGGTAATAGGTTTATAGACCAGCAACATGCACGCTATCACGTTTAATGTTTCTTGACACTTGCTTGGGTTTTATCAAGCTGTTCATGAGAGGCCCACGCATCATCAGAAACTGTTTTTAAGGTTACACAGCATTTCAAGAAATAATCTTTATCAACCAAAGACCCACGATAAGGAAACGCCATTGGTGCCGACATTAATCTAGAGTTCAATTATCAAAGTTGAGCTACGTTTTCCAATATACCACTGTTGTCTTTTACAAAGAGTATGGTCAAAATTCCAACAATGAACAGAAGGCACCCACCTAAAGGGTGTTTTGTCATGCGTGGTAGTTGTCAGGCTCCATGCTGTCTGAGTATCCACAGCAGGCAAAATCTGAGCCTGTCTGCATGCTGGGACTGATCAGTGCAGGAGCCTGGAGCATGGAGTCCCACAGAGGGGAGGGACATGGTCACAAGGCACCTGCGATTTACTTGGGCGTAAGGGAAAACCTTCTTCGCTGACAACTCATTGCTTGCCTTGTGGGAATATTATCAGGTATTTAAATTTCAAAAAATCCCCCATAAGTCTTGTAGCTTTTCTCTAAAACTGTATCTGAAGTACAAGGAAACGATCTTCATACACTATCACGGCCTTCTTCTGGACCACATGGAAAAATGCGTGAGGAATGAGTCAGTGTTTGTTAGGCCTGGCTACAGCTCAGGGGCTCCTGGCTTTTGCATTTCTATCTATATGTATATAGCTGTACCTGAGGGAGGGACCTGGTCAATTGTCCTCATCAACTTAGGTCATAAAAGTCAATATGAACAAGTTCAACCAAACCTCCATATATGGGCTGTCTATGAATGCTTCAGCATTGTGAGGGCATAAATTTCATTTTTTCCCCATATAGCTGTATCTACAATCATCAATTGATAAATTTCTTTTTCTTTTTCTTTTTTTTTTTTGGCTGATGTTTGGATTAGAAAAGAAATGAGGAAGTAAGGAAGACGGTAGAAAGAGGGAACAGAAGAACCCAATTCTGAAATATTGGTGCAAGTCAGCCAATAGGTAACTCTTTAAACACAAATATTTCCTGTTGGAGTAACATAGTAGGAAATGCTCTGTTTGTCAGAACTATGGGTCTGTTGCTTTATCTATTGTCCTTTGAGATGCTACAGGCACTAGTCAGTGCCACACAATCATGAACAAGGAAAGCATGACTGCCCTAATTTGTGATGATAAAACATGACTTTGGGACTACATTTCCAAAGAGTAAGAAGGAAAGACTGGATAACACTTTACTTCCACTGTTTCAGAAAGTGCTATTGCTCAACAATGGGGCTGTGCACATATTGAATATCCTTGTTCCCCCTGAATCTACTCAGGCCATCAGGTCACCAGGCCAGGGCATGTCCTCATAGCCCTCCTCCCACGGTACAGACCATGAATGCTATTGGTTAGAACACACCATTTTTCTCTGCATGTTCCTGGTGACACAGAACACAGCTCTCGCTTCTCCTGACAGCGTACCTTTCTCCCCAACAAATGGCAGCGACCAGGTGAAGACATCCATGAAATTCGGGAGCCAGTATGGGTGGGGAGAACAGTTGAACTGCCTGATGTTCATCACGTTGTTCTCGTACTTCAACACTGCAGCTGAAACCAAAGCAACACGGGAGGACATCAGAGCTAGCGCACAGTGCTGGTTTTGAAGGCATGGTTTTAGTTGACCAAGAAAATTCAACGATTTGACCATGAGGACAAATGGCCTCATCAGCCGCATTTCCTGACTTATGAACTTTAGCCTTACTCCTTAGAGGAAGCTACTGTGTGCACAATGTTTGAGTAGTAATTTAAAATGACATTATCATTTGAAAAATATCTCTGCAATGTAGTTAAGCAATTATCAAGAATCAGATCAAGAGCCTCCTGTATTCAGGAACGTTCTTGTCTTACTATTTGACAGTAAGAAAAAGGGGGTACTGCTAGGTGGGTCTGGCATAATTTAGTAATCGCGCCTCTCTCTCTCTCTCTCTCTCTCTCTCTCTCTCTCTCTCTCTCTCTCACACACACACACACACACACACACACACACACACACACACAAAATAGCATACCTTTTCCTCTGGTAACAATCATAATAGTTATATTAATCAGCATAAATTATACCACATTTTTATTAACTACAGTAAGATATTTGGATTTAATGCCATATAAAATAACACAGCGTTGACTCTAGCCTTGACTTCTGAAAGGGCTATGGCAGCCAAGGCCTCCAGAAGCAAAGCTGCCTGCTTCTCTCTATGGTACCTGTGTCGTTATTTGTGGGCTAGATAGAGTCTCACGCGAGTGCGGCTACTCTCACTTCTTACTGCGTTTGGAAATTCCACCCGTGCCAATCCTGGTCAATCGACACAGGGCAAGCAGGGTGCTGCGAATAGTTTCAGTGAAGGTGGAGTTATATGTTTCAGGGCGGGCCTCTAGCTTATGGCTTGACAACAGTAACCTATGGGACAGACTCAGGTTAAATTTACACCTGCTTTTTCTACTCACTGTCCTTTCTGTTGCTACCTGAAAAGACACAAAACAAAGACATTTTCCTCTAAATGACAGCCCTTTAACGACGATGCCCTCACATTTCTGCCCAAACTACATTAAGAGTTCATTTTCATTATCCTTACCCAACGTGGCTGGCATTGCACTGAGACTGTGTCATGACTAGATCCAGAATAATGTAAAATGAGCTATTTACATTGACTGGTCAAATACAGAGAGCTGTTTTATTACTTTGCATTTTAAGCTGATCTTTATATGAGGAATATGCTCTAACTTTGTGATTACAGATCACAGAACAAGTCTTTAAACATCTATAAAATGCCTTCATTGGGTTTGCATCTTCACAACAATGCAGAGTCTCTGAGACAATGCTCTCTTTAACATAGCAATGTCTCCAAAACCAATGCCTCATCTGGAATGTTTCCTGTCGTGGATTTCTATGAAATCCAAGCCCTTTGCCGGGGTCTGAGCCCAAACTCCGTCCTCTCAGTGGAACCCTTCTTGGTTTTCTTTGATAGACAGATCATGTCTCTTCCTTGAATTCTAAAAGCTTAGACTTACATACAGATGCCAGCAAACATTGATAAGGGTCAAACTACATATATGTATCTAAATAGGCTTTAGGTTTTCTTGTCTCCTGTAGCATTTTGACTTGATCTGAGAGGCTGAAATAAATCCTCCCAACCCTTCTACAACATTCAAGCAATGCCCCTCATCCTTTTGGTCTCCTTCACGGAAGACTTTTTACCCTATCGTGGATCTGGATGCATGCCAGACAGCCAAGGAACTGAAAGTGTGACTCAGGACCAACACAGTCTTTTCAGTAGGCATGATGAGTGCCCGGATTCAGAAAACACACATCTTTTCGTGTTATGATTTGCCTACTGTAAGCATTAGGCTGCATTTTAAAGATGCGGATGTTTTTAGCAACTTGCAGTCAACTTGTATTTGTGTGCAGGGAGGCTTGTGCTTTAAATTATAGACCTAGTTGATTAATATGGCTCCAGAAAACATAGAATCAGGCACTTCGGGAACACAGATGGTACAGTTAGCAAAGACTGGAAGGGAGCTGGAATTCTCCTCTTCTGAGAGAATATGGAATCCTGCATATATTTCTGGAAATGGCCTTTTTGCACTGTCCTATTATTTATGCAACATGCCATTTGCCAAAAGCAAAGCAAAACAACCAGAAAAACACCTTGACAAATTACCATACCCGCACTTCTGATCTTCAGGACAAAGTATTTTTAGTGTCCTACATTATTATTTGAGCACAAGATTCATGCTAAGATTTTTACAATTTGTTACGATTGCATTTGTTTTTTATATCTTAAAAAGAATCTTTCAGAATTCAAAGCTGTCTTTTCAGAGTAATTGTTCCTTAACCCCCTCCCACAATGTTTTATTAACACCAGGTGGTAGTTTAGCAAGAGAAAAGAGAGACAGGGGGGCTCGCCCTTGCTAACCATGGATTCCATACACATGGATTCCACCAAGCCTGCCTGCAAAGGTTGGGTAAAAAGGAAAACTGTGTCAATACTGAACTTCTCTTGCCATCAGTCCCTAATCAGTTCAGCGTAGCAGCTTTTCACAGGGCACTGCCGCTGTGCTCACTATTATGAGTGATGTGGGACATAGAGAATGATGTCTGTAGGTTAAGGACACACTGCACTATTTTATGTATGGGTCATGAGCATCTGTGGGTGCTGGTATTCACAGAGGTCTTGGGATCCATTCCTAGTTGTTGCCAGAACAATACTGCCCTGGATGGAGCACAGGGAGAAGCTTTATGAAATACTTCACTGGATTCTCAAAAGAAATCTGAGAAGCAGTGTGTGTGTGAGTGTGTGTGAGGGGAGGGGGTAGGAGGAAGAAAGAGAGTGGAGAGGGAGAGGACACATGCCCTTATCTGCAGCCAGAGCAACTGCAGTGGGGAAATGGAGAAACTCGCTCAGATTATGCAACCAACAACAGACACATCTCACCCCCTTTCTCCTCAGCTTTTCCTGACACTAAACCCGTTCCTTTCCGTTATTCCCCGCTGTCCTTCATAAATTATACATGCACGGATGCGAGTCCTAGCTGTGATACTGATTTAGCTTTGGATGTGGTGTTCATATTTAAAGATGGTTCAACTTTTGCCAAAGTACATGCTCGAGCCAAACGGGATGCAAGTTCCCCATCGAAGGCTGCCCTGTCGGTGAATTAAAGAGAGGCTGTGTTCTGTGGAGCAGCAAGGCAGAAGCGGTTCATTTGTTTCAACATCAGCTCACCACGGCTTACTTCAGGACCTCCTGAGAAAGCTACGACCGCTTATTTTGTTTATTAATGATGGGAATGATACATGTCAATAGGAGTACACTTAGCGACTAGGCATAGCGGGGCACTCGGTTTGGACCTTTATACCCATAATCACAAATCACCATGTTTGACTGAAGTGTCCTCACCATTTCTCTTTGAGAGTGAGCAGAGGTGAAATGAGTGCTCGTCCACACTTTCAAACAGTGGAAGCCAACTCTGGCCTAAATACAAACCATCTATCTCACATATACACACAGTTGCCATAGCAACACAAAGCATTCAATGCCGACCAAAGTTTGGACAGACTAGTTTTCCTTACACATTACTTTCTAAAGATGAACAGAAGTCTGGAAGGCCAAGCACCTGAACAACACTATTTTGTCTCTAATTACTTCAGACATTCCAGGGTCACTTAATGCCTCTAGGTTAGGTCTCACTTTCCTTCCCTGAACATGCGAGTTTATCTAGAAAATTTAAATGAACTCTTTCCGACTTATGTGGCATTAATAAAATTTTAGAAAAAAAAACCCTCATAATAAGTACAATGACAGATCAGTGTTCTCGGTGATTTCCTTATTCTCTGTATAAAAATTATGAATTTTAACTTAAAATGCAGACCCTCCACAGATATTCCTTTCTGCAGTGACATGACATAGTCGTGCTAGAACCCTCTGAGCAGCTCACATTCACAAGTTACTCAAAAGCTTTGACATTTTTGCACAATAATTATGTATTATCACAATACATAAGAAAATAGCCCCATAAGTGTGAAACATCGACATTCACAAAATTCAGTTAACATTTCATCTTCCACCTCCCACATCTTCCTTTCCTGACACCTGCCCCCGCCTGTCACCAATTACAAAATTCATCTAGAGCCCTGAGAGTGTGCTTCTCTCTGAAACATCTGAGACACACGTGCAGTGAACAAAATTCAGATGATTGTATTTGCACAAACACTGGAGACACCTACTAAAATTTTTGGGAGAAACAAAGAAAACAAAACAAAACAAAAACCAAGTGTCCTGTCTATCAACGACTGTCACTTTTCCAAGACGTGACGTCACTTACACGTGTCCCAGAGGGATGCAGAGACACCGTGACATGTTTGTGGGACTGAAGTTATTTACCGTGACTTACAGCAGACCTGACAGCATGGAAACAAATGGCTCTCTCTTGTGGCTGCAGATGTGAAAATCTGCCAGAAGAGACCGCCATTCAGTGGGAGGACTACGAACCCTACACATTTGGAGGCTCGTTCTTCTTGTGATGTCAGAATAAATCATTTTAGAATTATGCAATTACTTGGTCCAATCATTTTCATTGCACCTGAAGAAGTTCATCTTCAAAGGCATGTTTCCATCTATTGAAAACCAGCAACCAAGGGCCCAGCACTGCTTGTGAAATGGATACTGGACTTTATTTACTTATTGCGATTATGGCAGACAAGGCAAGGACTCTACTGTGGGGTTCTACCTTAAATACTTGACTACTTTCTGTAGCATCACTGGCTCCTTGCATCCAGCAAAGCTCAAGGAAGAGAGTCCACACATCATTATATTGCTGGGCCATACCACACACCAAATCTCTGAACCACAGTCAGATCTTTAGAAAAGGAGGTTTCTGTGATTTTAAAGTTGTTAGGGCACACTATGACACCATTGTCTATCTCTGACCTCCACCAGCATGTACACACACACACACACACACACACATTTCACTTAATAAGAACTTTGCACAAGTTGTCAACATCTTTTTCTATCAATATTAAGAGAAGCTCCTAACAAAGCAAGAATAAA